TTCATTTTGATACAACTTGTTGTAAGGTGAAATGAAAAAAAAAAAAAAAAAAGAAAAGAAAAAGAAGAAGAAGAAGGAAAAAAAAAAAGAAAGAAAGAAAGAAAATGAAAAACGTAAAAGGGAAAAGTGTTCAAATTTTCAGGATCTCCCAAAAATTCTCTTTTAAATTTTAATATGGTTTATCAGTAAAGATTCTCTATAGAGTCGGCCTAGAATAAAGATGGAATTGGAAAACATTTTATAGAATATTAGATAAATGTACATTTCTACTAACATGTAAATTAAGACACAATAACACGCCGAATAAATACCAATTCAGAAGTCAAACAACAAAAATCAGCGTTATATTTACAAAATTTTCACAGGACTAGTTTCGATGGTTTTACCGAACCACCATCTTCAGCTGCAAAACCGCAAATGAACCAGATAGGAAATAATGTTTAGATAAGATAAGAAAGCCTGGACAAGAATAAGCAAGTGGCGCCATCTGTTGGTGAAACCAGAACTAAAACATAATTTCTTTAAAGGCCGAAGGCAAATTTGGATTGGAATTAGGATCGTTAACTAGAACAGAAAGATTTTTATGAATGTGAAATGCCTCTAGAAAATCCAGTTCTCCAATGGAAGATGTTTTTTTGAATAATTTTGGCAGCAGAAAAAAATTGAAAGTGTGATTTTCGGACCAACAATGTTGAGCAACAGAAGACTTCTGTGTTTCCTTTTTTCTAACATATGCCTCATGTTCCTTTGACGCGAAATTTTAAGGCTCTCTTAGTTTGGCCAATGTAAATTAAACCACATGGCAAGGAATCCTATAAATACCCCAGGAATTCATATCCGGAATGGGGTCCTTGAGTATGAAGTTGGAATTTTATTGATGGGAGAATAAACAACCCGAAAGTTAAATTTCTGCAAAATATGTGCAACTTTATAGCTAATTGATGGAAAGAAGGGAATGACAACAGAATTTTTATAATCTCCTAAAACAAGAGTGTGTCTTTTAGTGTGTTGAGATGAGAATTTTTTAACTGCTTTATTAATAATGTTGGGTGAAAGCCCCTGTCAATAGCTATTGCTTTTAAATAATTTAGTTCTTCATCAAGGGCTAGTTTGGAGGAGCAAACTTGAAGAGCACGGAAAACATAGGAATAAAATGAAGCTAACTTTTGTTTAGTCGGATGACATGATTTAAAGTGTGGTGGAAGGCAAACCGATGAAGGTTTACGGTAAACCGTCATCGGTCACCTATTTATTCGGTTGCATAAATGGCTGCGCAATGATAGTATATGTCATGTTAATGCGCGTAATAACGAAGTTGTGCAGTTTTCTATCATTTCAAACGAAAAACAGGTCGCTGTATGCACACGGAGAACAACATTTCTCTCCCCCAATGTAGACAGCGATCGTTTTCGCTTCCAAACACCAGGGAGCTGCAATTAGGTATCGCGCTCAAGTTTCGTACTGAACGCAATGAACAGAGAGAGTTTTCCTTTATATATATATCAAAGGAAAACTCTCAAAATAAAGCTGCATCTTACAATCTTGAGAACTATTGATTACTTGGGCTCGATTCCAGGTAAACGCCCTGGCTGCATGGGGGTTTCCGTGGTTCGCCATGAGTAACGTGTATACGAGCTTTAGAACCCCTACCTTAGAAAGTTTCCTCGAAGGCATCCCTTCCCATAGGCAGAGAACTTAGTGTGGTTTGCCGTAATCAACTGAACCAAACAACTCAATTTATATTATGTATTATGTTGTTATAGATAACTCTCTCTCACATAATCGAGATATGCTATTGTAAAAACCTCATCCGATAACCTATTTTAACATTATAATGTCGGTTGATTACGTAGGAAATATTTCCGAAGCTAATTTATTTTTTTTCAGGGAAAACGATCTCCCTTTTACGTCGCCGACTTCTAGATGTTGTGTATAAATGCCGATATTGAAAGCAAAATTACAAGAGTAGCCTTTTTACGGTAAAATAAAAAAGTTCTTTTTATACATAAAATTTATCAGTTATGTTTATGTAATTTTTACTACTTTCTAATATTTATTTTTTAGAATTTTTATTATAAATCCATCTGTTTCATTTCTTGCTCATATTATTGAGGAAATGGTAATATTTTTTATTTATTTATTTTAATTTCCCGATTCAGCTGTCAAATGCAACTCTGATCAATGCTATACGCCTAGGTTTCCTAGGAGTGCGTTTTGACTGTGCTAGTAATAAGGGAAAATCATCTCATTTTAAATTTAATAAATTCTTTATATCAATGACTGAGATATTGTCACATCCCTCAACATTCCTTTTCTTCAGAAGATATACAGTGAAACCTCAGTATACGTCATTAATCAAATAGTGCCATGCCTTGGACCTATACCAAATGACTTTTATAAGAATAGATGGGAAATTCTTCGGATGTGTTAAAAAATAATTATCCGTTCTTAACCTCAAAACCATCAAGCCAACAAATTTAATTAATTAATTATAAAATAAAAATACAAAACATGTATTTATGGGAACGATATTGAATTTAGATAAGTTTAAATTGCTTTATTAATTATATGAATTTAATCGTTGTCGGGCTTTACGATCACGTTTAATCGTTGTCGGGCTTTACGATGACGTTTAATCGTTGTCGAGCCTTACAATGATTTTATGACAGTGGCGATTACGAGTGTTCTCGTAAGGAGTATATTCTTAGTTGGATGTTTATAACAAAGATTGAATATATATACAACAACTATTATAACAATGACTTTTTTACAGTTCCTATGTTATTTAATTTTACTTATATTAATTACAATAAATCTCTTGGATTGCTCCAAATTGTTGTGTTTTTCTTAATCTCCAAAGTCAGATACCTCAAAGAACATGAAAATAGAACGAGTTTGATCGTATGTGGCGTAGGCCCAGTTTTACCTTATAGAGAAAGCTGCAATGGATTGAGGGTGGTTCTCTGCGTCATAACGTTACTGCGAAGTTAGAAAGGTGAGCCTCGAAGAAGAAGAGACTTGTAGACAGACGTAGCCGAATCGAATACAATTTTTATTTATAGACATGAACTATTTAACGAAACATATTCTTCATCACACATGTTCATGGGCGCAATAAGAACCCCCCCATTTTTATATAAAATATCGCATTCTAGATAACGGCCTAGTTAGCACACGACAAAGCGTAGAGGGTGAAATAGTATCTTCGTTGCAGGAAAGCTGAAGCTAGAGTGCGCAGTTATCCAGTAGGGAGACTCACCAAGAGAAGGTTTTGGTTTAGGTTAGCAAGGTTTCAGTTCTCGAAATTTCGAGTTCAGGTTCCGAATTAGCTACGTTGTCAGCATTACGCGAGCCATCAAGATGGATTGAACTAGAATGACGTAGTCTAGAGGTTCTTCAGAGAAATTAGATATGGCTTCTAAATCCGTAAAGCTCAACAAAGGTCTGCCTAATATAAACTTTTATTGTGTGGATGTACAGGAAAATGTATGACATTTACCAATATTCAAAATATCATTCTTTTTATTATATACTAAGAATTCGTCAAGACTCTTTCAATAAATAGACCACATGAAGAATGATACGAGGAATATTATTTCAGTTCAGTGCAGCTTCCTTTTTATATCAGTGCCAAAGACGAGGAAAAGGCATTACCAGAAACTTCAAGAAAGATTACCATCAGTTGTTAAGTACAGTTTCCAAAATTCTCTGTACTGATAGCAAACTGTCGAGAAATCTTTCGGAAATCCGATAGCGAGTCTTTGGTCTATATCACCTATTCTTCGTATGCTATTCATAATTAAAAAGTTAATCCATTCGGAATTAAAAACGTTCACTAGCGACAGAGCGGAAAATTATTAAACACTAATTGTTTAAACTGGGTTCTGATAGAAGCGAATGGGTTGACTGCATAGGTGTAACCGTGATTCGTGTGTAACGTGGATACAAGCTAGTTTCCCTTAGAAAGTCCTTAACGGAAGCATTCCTCCCGTCACGCAGACAAACCCAGTGTGCTTGCCCTAATAAAATAAACCAAAACAGAATTTAAATCTCTAAAAATATTATATGAATTTAAATCTGTTGATAGCAAAGGGCAATGAATAAAAGATTTGATAAAACTTATAAACGCACAATTACGTGAAATATTTAATTAAATAAATAAAAGTGTGAAGCAGTAGAAAAATACGTAAATACCAAAATACAGACAAATAGGGAAAAATATTTGCATAAATTAAAAAAATTATGCATCTTATGGAACACATAAAGCGCTTCAACGTTTAGAATAACATTATTATCTGTCCAAATTGGAAATTTACTTTGCGTGCGAAGGAGTTTCACTTTTTCCAGCATAGTTTGTAGAGACATTAGGTATTTTTTTGAAAGCTAACGAGCTTTAAAAAAAAAAAATAGCAAACGCCTTCGCCGGAAATCGAACCACGGACTAGTGGAATACCGACCCAGCGTGCAGAACCACTACACCACCAAAGACGCTAGGAAAGTGGGAGAAATACCTTATAAGTTTTGTTACCTGCATTTAAATTTTTAAGACGAAATTTAAATTCAGATTTAACATTTTCCATTACCGCCATTTGAAAAACGAGTGCAGCGCTGTATTCTATGTGATAAAACGAAGACTCTATCAAATGTCTGGTATTCTCATACTCTCCAACTTGTCATATAGATTTTAAAAGTACCTAAGTCGATCTGAAAATGCCAATTCATGATAGCTTTATATTCCGATTAGACCATTTTCTATAAAGACTTGACACAAAAACAAAATGCGTTAGTTTTTGTAACCCTAACGATCGCCGTTTTTTAACCATAAGAACTAGTTTAGATATAGGTAAGACTTTAACGCAGAGATGCTTTCAAAACTTCATGTTATTTCTCTAGGAAAAGAAATTATTGCGCTTAAAAGAATAAATGTAGATTAAGGAGGAGCCTAGAAATAACTTCAATGAAAAGGAATAATTAATGAATGTCTCATTTTGCATTTCCAGGGTGAAATAGATGCCGTCCTTTCCGCCGGAGCAAATTCATCTGATATCATCTACGCCCATCCTTTCAAATTAGTTTCATTTCTCAGATACGCCGCATCCATCAACGTAGATTTTATGACATTTGACAGTGAACAAGAACTCATGAAAATCAAACGTGTTTTTCCCCATGCCAGGTAAATATATTTTTTTTTTCTGTGCAATGTATGTTCCTACCTATGTTCTAAGTTTTGGCCTGCAGATGCAATACACGTCTCGCAGCGACGAAGAATCAATCGACGAACATTTGCAAGAATACCAGGTGTATCAGCAACACCACCACTTGCAGCAATGACAGGTGTATTACGTCCACGTCCAATTCCACAAGGTCTTCACAACGTGAAGAAATGCCTCGAGAACACGTCCCTGAATAGTTTTCGAGTACTGCCAGTAAGGCGAGGTGTCAGAGTGCTTCGCTTAGCCCCATCATTCGGGCTAAGAATTTTTCCTCTTTGCACAATCCATTATGCATACGTCTGAACATGTTGGGGCCACGGATGCGTCTGCTACAAAAACAGGAAATGATACAGTTCCCAAATATTAGTGTATAAAATATGTTCTGATGGAAATAAGGATCATCCCCTGATGAGAACAAAAATATGTATATGCACTCGGTAGCCCATGAGAAGTGAGTGAAGTGCAGTACATACATTTTGCTTGAAAAACGAGGGTCCGCTGTTACAGAATGATGCAGTCTATAGTTAGTGGTTTATTTAACCGTAATTATCTAAAATCTATCTGATTACAGCCTAGGCCTATGAAGCTAGATTCTCGAGCCTTATGTTTTAGAGTATTTTATATCATTTCACACTTCAGAAAACTCGTTTTTTTTTAATGAAAATAAAGTGAGCAATGGCGGGAAATCCTAAAAGGGATAGCATGCTGCTTAGGACAAAATACTAGCTTAAGCAGGTCTTCTCTGAAATGGTATATTTCTGATGAGGCATGTGCTAAACGTTTTCTTAACTTGGATATTCATGATAATTTAAGATATTTAAAGTAATATATGAATGCCACGTAAAATATAAAATCTCACTTTAGGTCCTTTGGTGGTTGCAAGAAAAATAAAAAGATTACTTACTACTTCTAATCAGTAAATTTTCTGTATTCAGTAAATTTTCCGCTGTCAGATATTGAGCGAAGGTAATTTGCATATCCCATTTTGTCTACGAATAGTGCCCACTACTATTCGTACAAAAACTCTTTTTAAGCCGCGGCACTTCAGAAGATGCAGGTGATCTGACAGTAGAGATTCAGAAGCCGAATAATGTCTAGAAGTCGAAGCAACAATCGCAAATAGCCAACTGGCTTACACTTCAAAAGCCTGAGCAATAGTTCTGGGTGATCAGTGGTGTTCGCTTCAGAAGCCGCGGCAGCAATACGGAGCATCCAAGTGATGTCCATTTTAGAAGCTGGAGAAGCAATCCCGAATCGCCCTCTAGTGTTCATTTCAGAAGGCGTAGTAACAATCCAAAGAAGCCAAGTGATTTCTGCTTCAGAAGCCGACATAGCAATCTCAAGTGAGGAAATAATGTCCACTCTAGAAGCCGAAGCTGTGATCCGAAGTGGTCAGATGGTGTCTACCTCAGAAATAGGAGCAGAAATTTCGAGTGGCCGAGTGGTGTTCGCTTCAGATGCCGCAGTCACAATCCTGAGTGACCAAATGATGTCTACTTCAGAAGCCGGAGCAGCAGTAGCCATAAGGTATCCATTTCGGAAGCTGGAGTAGCACATCCGATTGGGCCAGTGATGTTCCATGAGTTCAGAAAACAGTCAGAATGATCACTTAAGACATCAGTTTCTTCTATTAAACTCTTGCTGTTATGTTTCTGTGGGTTTGGATTTCAGAGTACAAAATCATGTTTAACTGCTAGCTTTCTTATAAAACTGAAATCAGATTACTTGAAGCCTCACATTAAAGTAAAACTAAACTGAAGTTACAAGAAAAGCTAATTTAAAGCCAAAGTTTTCAACGCTACTTTCTAACATTCAATTTGAAAATTAATGTGTGAGGTCATTATCTTTGGTGACTAGTGGCAGGGTGCACGCCTTCAGAAAGTGTTCCCTTTTCAACTAAAGCTGTTATTTGTGTAGTTATTATCAATTGAAAAAGCGTATAAATGTTCAGTACTTTGAGGCTGAGTTTCAAATCTATATCTATCAAGCACTATAAATGTATATGAATATATTGCAAAACATCCAATAAAATGTTATTTACTAAAGACATTCACATTCTCAAATTCCTTCATTTTTAATTTCAGATTAGTTCTCCGCATAAGAATACCAAATGTACCGGCAGGATTCCCCCTGAATAAAAAATTTGGATGCGACTTGAAACAAGCTGAGAAATTGCTGCTCTTAGGTAGAAAGCTGGAAATGAACATCGTTGGGGTCAGGTAGGTGAGAACTTTTTTGTTCTAATTCTTCCATTTGATTATATATATATATCTATCTATCTAAAAAAAAAAAAAAAAAAAAAAAAAAAAACTACTTCATGTAGCCATTCTTAATGAATTCTTTCTTCAACTTCAAAAGATTCGAAAATACCGTTTTGTGACGAATTTAAGCAGCCACTGAATGTTAGCCGCAATAGGATTTTAAAATTGGGAAAAAAGTAGTAAAAAATAGTTGTCCTCCAATTTAAATCCAGGAGGATTTAAAACTAAAAATTGTAAAACATAAAAATGATTTTAAAGTAGGTATTGAAAAACAAGAGACAAGTAATCAGTGTATGAGACATATATGTCTCAAGTAATCAGTGTATGAGACATATATGTCTCAAGTAATCAGTGTATGAGACCTATATGTCTATGTCTCTTAAAGACCACACACTATGGACTATCTAATCTATATAAGTACTATCGAAGAATTATCTTATAGCCTTGTCAAACAGAGCAAAAGTCAGAAGAAGGATGTATAAGACACTTTTATTCCAACTCAATTTAACAGTTACCCCTCTTGGGCTTACACAAGCCAAGCACTTCTGGTTTAAGAGAAATACGTAATGTTGAACAAACTCAAAATGGGGTAGATCAGACTAACGGCACGCAGGGTAATTTAACGCGCAGGGAAGACTCTGGTTTACAGAAAAATGGCGAGATAAAGCCAAATGGTTATAAACACTCACCTCCACTAAAACAAGTCGCTAATAATCACATTGCAACGTGGTCTGAAATAGAGTGACACGCTCTAAAACCAATATTCCGAAACTCTTGCTTAAATAGCAATTTCTTCTACCTTAATCGGAATAAACTGCGCTATTTCATTTACATTCTGGCATGAAAAGCTTGGGTGAGAAGAGAGTGATAGGAAGGTGATTCAACTTAAAATTAACTATTAATTAAAAATAAATAGATAAACCTCACAAGCTGTCGTAAAATAGCCTTCGTTCTTCGTTTGGATTAACAGACAGGTCCTGCATCTTTTTTAACAACTAGTTTAACTTTTTGTACGTTAAAGGCTGTTTATCTTCTGTATTACTGTGTGTTACACCGTCTTCTGGTGTTTATAAGATCAACCATTTCTTCATTTGTCATTTTCCGATCATCATTCTCGAATAATTCCTTGATTTTTCCTTTTCTAGATCGGAAAACCCTTCGACGCTTAATACTTTCGCAATATTTCCTTGGCTTCATTTTCAGTCGCTGGAAATCCTTTAAAATTGTTGACAATTTCTAGCCACAGCCGACGCAGCGCACCGCATATAAATGAAATTGTCTCGTTTGAGAAATTAAATGACGACAATTAATGTAATACGTACATGCAAAATTGCTTTCCGCAAGTCGGCATCGGGGCAAGAGTTTCCTGTAGTAGCGCTACTGGACATTCTGTTATTAATTCCTTGCTTCTTTCATTTGCTAATAATCCATTTCAAACTAAGCTAAAATAGGTATATGCTTTTGTTTTCAGTTTCCATGTAGGAAGTCTTTGTGAACAGCCATCCGCGTTTTCCAGAGCCATTGGAATGGCAAGACAAGTTTTTGACACGGCTGAAGATTTGGGATTTCACTTTACATTACTCGACATCGGAGGAGGTTTTCCCGGTGCTACCGGTACCATGGACGTCTTTGATAAAGTATGAAACTTACTTTTAGTCAAAAATACAGATTTATGATCATTGGAATGATTATAGACATTGCGTTAGCATAGTTTTAAGCTGATCAAACAATTAATGATAAATTTTTCCGGCGGAGTTGCCAAGCGATAATAATTAAATCACTAGCACGTCGCAGGTTGCTTTTTTTTATGGTTGCTTTTTTTATGGTTGCTTATGGTTGGTCGCAGGTTGCTTTTTTTTATAATATGCAGTCAATATTTGTAGATTGAAAGAGTGAGCAACGAAAACCAATGTCTTAATGGCTCACTTACGGAAAGGCAGAAAATACACTCTTCTTAGCCTCTCTCGAGTATACATTGTTATAATAGCTGAAGTATTGTACAAACGTAAGCACATAATCTAATCGATTTCTAATACGTGTATTACGTAAAATTATTACATTACATAATAATTTTATGTAATGTGAAGTTTACCTCATGTATCGGTCATTCAGCACTACCGATACATGATGTAAACTTCACATTACATCATTAGCAATTCAACGAGCCAACGACGCATAGCTCTTGCAGTAGCCAACGACGCATAGCTCTTGCACTCCAGTGGGACGGTGCGTCAAGACACCTGGGTACCTAGGCTAAAAGCCTTACCCCGAGTAGAACATGATAGTTGAAGTTACGATTTATAAAAGAGAATAACCTGATAAATAATATGGATAATATTAATAGAATTACAATAATATTAATAGTAATATTAATAATATCAGATAATATTAATATTAATAGAATTATATTAATATTGGCGAGGTCATTAGGATCGCAGCTGGCTATTTTAATGGCAGGGTTATTGATTGCTTTCTGTTTTGCATGAAATCTTTTAGCAATTTTGCAGTAATGGGATCTGAGGCGACTAACGCTCAGTTCCTCGTGGATACATTGGTTTCTTATGTACTACTGAGCATTTGTGATCTGCCTCAGAGTGCTATTTTGTGCTGTTTGTAATTTTTTCTTCAATTTTTAGTTGAGTATGCCCATACAGGGCAGGCATAACAAAGTAATAGACGCAAGATGGATTTATAAATGAGCAACTTGTTGTCTATAGATAAAACGCTGTTTCAAGCAATTAGAAGGAAGAGTCTAGCTTTATATATTTCAAGCCAAAGATTAAAAAGATATATAATAATTATCAATTACATTATGCCATTTATAATGTAATTAATAATTATTAGATATTTTTTTATCTTTGGCTTGAATATATGTACATTAATATAGATTGAAAAAGTGAAATTTATTAATAATTATTTATAATAATTATACTATAATAATTAATTATTATAGTTTTTTAATTATTTATAAAAATTGTATTATAATAAATAATTATAATACGTCTTTTGGATTTGGGGGCTAAAATCTGTATGCATTATCATACATAGTTGATGGGGGGAATTTATTTTAGGAAAAAACAGATTGAAAATTATTATTGAATATCAGACCATAATATTGAAAAATGTCACTTTAAATAAACGACTAGGCGAGATCCCTTTAAAAATGAATTTTGTTTCTTTTTTTAAATTACAAAAGAATATTCCACTAAAAATGTAGTTCCATTATTTACGTAAAATTCATGTTATGAAAAAAATATTCTCAACATTATTGGTTTCCAGCGATATTAACATTATTGGTTTTCAACATTATTGTGATTTTTCAACATTATTGGCTCACAACTGATGAGAGAATCAGTCCACGACACGATGACCTTCCCTCTATCGATAGTAAATTTCCCTCTTTCCGGAGAAGTGCGAAATCTTATGTAACGTCCTTATTCTGTGGAACGTAATTAAAACCCTTTCTGGATGATTGTATGTTTTGGCAGAATGCCAGCCACAGTTCCTTTAGACACGGTCGACCTGCATCAGACTTTGTCAAAAAAATTTCTCCGCAGGAGAAACTACGAATAGATTTTTACGAACAAAATCTCATTTGTGTTAATCATTGCTCTTCTAAAGCGGATTTCATTTTACTCATATAATTCATAACTTTCATAACAAAAATGCAACTATAACAAGGTAATTACGAAATAACTAACTTTAACATGCGTAAAAACATATAATGATAGATGAAATGTGTGTAGAAGGCTGGGCTGGGATAGTTATAAAGCTATTTAATTCTCGGTTTCTCATAAAATCGATCTTGAAACTTTCTGTATGCATTTAGAGATGTATGTTAAGTCATGAGTCTTCGGAAAAAAAGCAGATGATTATTTCAAAAGAGTTTTATCAAATTTGTTCCTTTTTCTTTTTTTGGTGTATTATTCTGTAATATCTTTACTTTTCCTAGATGTGCTACTATATAAATTTGAGCCTCGACGAACATTTTCCCGAAGGGTGTGGAGTTAAAATAATTGCAGAGCCAGGCTGCTACATGGTATCTTCTGCGTACAATCTCTGTACTAAAATTTTAGGGAAAAGGACAAGCGCAGACACAGATTCAGAAGATGATGGTAATTGCATTATTAATTTAGATCAAATAAAAGTTAGAATAAATACATTATTTTATAATTCATTATTATTTTACTATATTTTATTATTTATTAATATTTGCCACCAATCTATGTAACAAACGCTCAAAAGTTAAAATAAATCGTACGTATTCGCACTTCAACAAATAATAACGCGCCTTTCTATATGATACGCTGTTTATAGTCATTCAATGCAAAATGCCTTTTCGAGGCTAATATCCCAATGTTCTAATAATGTGAATTTGTGCTCTAATTTTACGAAAGAAGTTTTCAGGCATTTTGTACTATTTATTCGAGTTGCTCATAGAAGTCCTGCCTCGGAACTTTTAAAAGCTTTAAATATATATATTTGATAGTTAGGCCCTTCAATAGCTCAGTAAAACTCATAAATAAATAAATCACTTTACACAAAAACTCAAAAATGGACTGTATACTCAAATTTATTAATTACTCAAAAAACCGCATAGTTAGCCGCATAGTTTCCAAAAATTTTGATTTAATCTCTCGGCGGCGTCTCAGAACACACTCAAAGCTCCATACAAGTGGCCGCAAGGTGGCTCTGTAAACGAACATCAGCGTCATCGTTTTAGAACACAAATATTACATATTTTTCACAGATGGCGCCTCTGGCGTCAACATCCAGCCCGGCCTTGAATGTTACATTCAACAATAAATTTAGAACACAAGTTATAAAATACAAACACAACACTGCAAGATAATAATAATGATGGTTATACAATTATACAAACTCAAACTTGATAATTAACTGCAATAGCCTTTTATAGGTTCCGTTTTTATCTTTAAGTGTCACAACTCGAATAATATTATCTTGACCAGGATGGGTTTTTAATAATTCGTGCTAAATGCCACTTTAAAGGAGAGTAATTATCCGAATCTTTTACTAAAACTAAATCTCCTTTCTTCATTTCTACTTTTCCTTTATACCATTTAGGTCTATTTAAAAGTTTGTTTAAATATTCAGACGACCACTTTTTCCAAAAATTTTGATTTAATTTCTGAACCATTTGCCCTCTAGTTATCATCTAGTTAATTTTACAGAGATTTATAGGAATCTCTGTAAAATTAGGTTCAGGTAATGCAATTAAAGATGAACCAATAAGAAAGTGAGCAGGTGTCAATGCCTCTACATCATTTGGATCATTTGATATGGGACAAAGAGGGCTAGAATTAAGTATAGATTCAATTTGAACAATTAGAGTAAAAAATTCTTCATAAGTTAGAATTGTTTTTCCCACCACACGTTTCAAGTGATATTTAAGGGACTTGACACTAGCTTCCCATAAACCACCAAAGTGAGGAGTAGAGGGAGGAATAAAATGCCAACCCACAAAATTTCTGCCATTATCACTGAAAATATCTGAGGGTTTACCTCGCCTGGCAATAAAGCGTTTAAGTGCTGCTATAAATGTTGCACTTGTTAAATCATTTACAATTTCAAAGTGCAAGGCTTTCGTAGTGAAACATACAAAAATACATACAAATACTTTTCTTACCTGTTTACTTCTAACTACAAAATTTTTTTACCACATATGGACCACAGAAATCGAGTCCTGTTTTAGCAAAAACTCTTGATACGGTCACTCTTGCAGCTGGTAAATCAGCCATCTGTTGCTGCACAGACCTAGAATTTACCTTTTTACAAATCATACAATTAAATATAATTTTTCTAATTACGTTTCTTGCAGAAACAATCCAAAATTTACTCCTTATAAGTCATAGGGTTGTTTCAGCACCTGCATGAAAATAAAGACCATGAAAATGATTAATCACAATTACAGTAAAATTATGTTTAGTTGGCAGAATCGTAGGATGTTTTCTCATTTTACTTAAGTCACTGTTTTTCAGTCTGCCACCCACTCTGAGTATTCTATCACAATCTAAAAATGGACACAAATTCAATAGTTTACTACTATTGGGAATAGGAGCACCCTTTTCTAAGGACTGGATTTCTGTCACAAATGAAGTCCTTTGAACGTTTTTCACAATACTCAATAACGCACTAGGAAGTTCACTGGTTTTCAACGTTCCGCATGTAGCATGCAATGGATGCCTGGTGTTATGCAAGAATCTCTTGCACCAAGCCACTACTCTTAGCAATTTGTTGTAAGATGAACAATTATTGATGACATCTAATGGCTCATAAGTGTTAATAAGTGCACATATTTCACTTACTGCTGGTGGTTTTAATTCGCGAAGATACAGTTCTTCGGACTCCTCAGGGATATCATTTTGGCACTTAGTCATCACAGGTTGAAGAAGAAATGGGGGACCACGCCATCACAGTTCACGCAGTTGAAGTTTGACCAGATCAGCACCTCTTGATATGTGATCTGCAGGGTTCTGTTTAGATGGGACTTGATGCCACTGTCGCACCTCCGTCATTTCTTGAACCACCGCAACTCGATTAGTAACAAACGTTTTCATACAACAGGGCTCCTTTTCAGCCAAGCCAAAACTATCGAAGAGTCACTCCAGAAAAATGCATTATTCACATTAAGTTTCAGAGCAGACATTACTCGAGTCATTAACTTCGCAAGCAATACAGGTGCGCATAACTCTAATCTCGGTATGGTAACTTGCTATAAAGGAGAAACTTTTGATTTACTTGCTACCAGCCTTATCACCACTTCATCATATTGGGAGACGGATTTACAATAAACTACAGCTCCATAAGCAAACTCAGAGGCATCACAAAATCCGTGTAACTCAATAACAATTGCTTCTGCGACAAGAATGCATCTGTTAATTTCTACTTTACATATTTGTGGTAGTTCAGAGAAAAACCGTTGCCATTCTTTGGCTTCTTTATCAAGTAGAATATCGTCCCAATTGAGCTTCAAAACCCATAATCTCTGAAGAAATATTTTAGCTTTAGCTATCACGGGACCCAATAAACCAAGTGGGTCAAAGATTCTCGCTATTGTTGACAAAACTTGCCTTTTAGTAATTTTAGACTCATTTTCTAGTTTCACTTTAAAATTAAAACAATATTTATCTGCTTTCCAGGAAACACCAAGGGCTGACACTTCATTCACGCACTGAAATGTGTATTCAGCTCTACAGCAATACGCTGATAATCTTCTTTTTTTGCAGTTTTAAACATTTTGAATCTACCTTTTCAATTACACAGTTATTACAATTAAGGCCACGTACCTTCTATTTAAGAGTAATCCGCTAGTTTTCCGTAACACTCGTCTTCCGACTTTGACACACATTCGAGCTCCGGTTCGACGGACCGACAATGGGCCCGTCAATAGCTCAGGAAAACTCATAAGTAAATAAATCACTTTACACAAAAACTCAAAAATGGAATGTATACTCAAATTTATTAATTACTCAAAAAGCCACATAGTTAGTTCAAATCTCTCGGTGGCGTCTCAGAACACACTCAAAGCTTCATACAAGTGGCCGCAAGGTGGCGCTATAAACGAACATCAGAGTCATCGTTTTAGAACACAAATATTACATATTTTTCACAGATGGCGCCTCTGGCGTCAACAACAGTATTCTCTTAAAGTTAATTAGATATTTCTGCGAGATCAACTCCGGTGTCATCGGTTTTCATAGACTTGTTATAATAAGCGGTAAAAGGTTTCACTCATATCTTTTCTTTAAACGGTACTTTAATAAAAGTCATTGTATAAGCGAGGACGACAGAAAATTTGACATCTATAAATTACAATTACAGCAATATGAATATATTTTTGTTCTGTATATGATTTGCCAATAATAAATATGTTGGAACGCAGAATCATTTGGATAGGATTGCTAAATCTGCATAATTTCCTCAACAACTAGCAGTTCTGTTACGAATTTCGTGTTTCCTGAAGGTCATGCGGATGTTAATTGGGGTAAATCTTAGCTGGTGAACAAGTTCATTTATTATCTATAATTATCTTTATAACATCCTAATAATTTATCAGTGACATAGAATATGTTTTTATCACAGAACACTCAAATGACTAGTACGCGCCAGTTTGATAATTATAATTATCAATAACTTGTTTAAATTGGAAGAAGCAGTGGTAATATTGTTTATTTCTTAGAACATTATAAATGTAATTTTAATTTTCACAGAATTATCACCCGTACAATTGCCCAACTAATACCAGAATGTTCATAAAAAATTCAATAAAAATGTTTCACGAACGTGTCAGAAACATTCAATCGATACGTTCTGAATCACGTCTATGTGTAACAGTTCTAAAGCGGACATTAACACTTCCAAATCAGTAATAGTAACACTGTCGTGTAAAGTCTAAAGAATGTTCGGGTAGGAACGTTCATAAAATGTTCTACGAGAAAGTTTATACGAAGTACTGCTAGAACATTATAAATGAACACGCACTTTATAAGTTTTAAATAATATTATTTTGTATTGTTTAGTGTACTAAACTAACCTTTTTATTTATGATATTTTATACTAATAAAACTATTTTTATAATAAATGCATATAAATAGGTTTATTTTGAAGCAGAAGACATGAAAAATGAGCAATGCCATCGCCGGGACTCGAACCTGCACCTCTCGAATACGCGCCGAATGTGCTACTGTTACACTCCGAAGGCATGCAGAAAGGAGGGAGAAAATACCTTACATAGTCCCCCTTTTGAAGGGCGACTGGGCTTTAGCGGACGGAATAACTAAATCCTGGTGGCGAAGAATCATCATCCACCACCTTTTTTTTATTAGTTCGGTCGCCACTATTGAGTCATTAGTATTTTTGAAGTAGGAAACGCGAAAAATGAGCAATATCCTGTCCGGGACTCGAACCTGGACCTCTTGAATATGCGACGACGAGTGTGCTACCGTTACACCATACATGAAAGCGTGCTGGAAGGAGGGAGTAAATACCTTATACAATTTCTGCAACCAATGCCTTTGCAAAGTAAAAATTATCTTTTAAAATATTTCTGTAAAATGAGTAATTTGTAGGTTGTATAAATACTGTTAAGCTTACTAATATTAGCTAGATAACCTAAGAAATACTTATTAAGCTTACTGAAATAATTTATGCTCTTTATATGCGTTATCTAAACGTATATTTTGTTTTACAGAATGTTTCGACAAATCTTTGCAACGTTATTACTACCTCAATGACGGCGTTTATGCGTCACTGAGGGGGTTCGAAAGATATGGATTCAACATGAAACCACTTCTAGTAAGTGGGAATTATTTATGATTCTTGTAGTTCTATCAAATAATGATAGTTTAATAGACACATCTCAAACGATTTGTAACGTTTATATTTATCATGAAATGCACAAAGGAGATAGCCAAACATGTATTTTTTAACAAGCATTTTAAACCATATTTAACTACTTTTATTTTCTTAAGGACTGAAAGGTTTTGTTATTTCAAATGCTTAACTCCAGATAAAAGATGCAAGTATAACGCTTCCTAGTAGATTCTCAAGTCTTTCGAATCTCTGATTTCTTAAATATTTCAAATAAAAATTTAAAAAAAAGAGAAGGAAAAAAGAAAATCCAAAGTTTTCAATTAAAGCAAAATTGAAAACCCGCATTTAAAGAGAAAAAATAATTTGAGTGTCCCGTTTTCGAAAATACTCCTATATTTATGCATTAAGGTACGAATGAAGTACAGTAAATTGAATGCATAATTAAAGCTCTGAAAACTTAAGTTTCATTTTCCCAACATAATTTGACATAATTTTATAATTAAGAATTCAGCAGTCGTGACTGGGTCCTCTGATTTATAGACAACGGGACTCATTTTCGTGTCATCGCTTTCTGATATTTCCATCCATACATTTACGTTTGACATGAAGAAACCACGAAACCTCTCACACAGTCACTTCCCTCGTATACCAGAATCTGATTCCAGGTTGAACTACTAGCGTCATACATTTGCGTTAGACATGAAGAAACCACGAAACCTCTGACACAATCACTTCTCTCGTATACCAGGATCTAAACCCAGGTTGAACTACTAGCGTCCAACGATTTCACCGCTCTGATGATAGTAGAGAATGGGGGTACGAAATGATGTTTCCACTTTAAGGGATATTTTGCATCAATCCTCTTACAGCCTGATTGTCTTTGATAGTTATTCTTTAATTGAATGCTTTTTGAAATGTGCACTCTGCACACACACAAAAAAAAGGGAGGGTATAATTCTACACCTCCCGTTCTGCTAGGTCGATTGATGAAATTTAATTTGGGCTTTTTATGTCCCGAAAGCGCAACTTTGGGTATATATTAGATTTATATGTAGCACTGGTCTAACATAGGTATTCTGACACAAAAACCGAACTTTTTCTGAAATAACAGTTCCATTTTTTTTCATGTTTCGATTCTACGACTCGAATTATTTCTTATTATTAAATTTTGCAAAAATTAGTCTGAAACTTACCAAGAAATTAAAAAGTGAGCCACTTAGCAAAATTCTTAATTTATGGTAACCCATTTCCATTTCATTTTGCCCAAGGAAAAGGAAAGAGACACAGTTCATTCTTTAAAATAATTTTAACAAAGTGCGTAAAGCAAGTTTGGCGTAATTATCGCTTCTCAAAAATACGCCAAATGTTTAAACTATATAATGTTATAAATTGGCGTATATGGAAATTTTAAATAAAAAACAAATTTTTTGCAGGTACATTTCTATATTAAAGCAATGGTAAAAATTATATAGGTTACAATTGAAAACGGTTTCAAAATTTAATAAAAACTACTGAAAATAAAAAACTTTTTTAAAAATCAGAAAATAGCTACGAATTTTTATTTTGACAGAACCTAAATTTCGAATTTTGAAAGAAGGAATCGAGTCAATTAAAATTAAGGATTTTAAATTTTGAGAGTTATTTTTTAAATTCTACTCGTGCGATTTTTGCAAAAGCTGGACACTTTGGCCTAATTTGCGTCGTAGAATCGAAATACGGAAAAAGGTAATTATATCATTTCCCAATAAATCTGATTTTTTTAGTACACCTATATTAGAACATTGCTATATATATATATATATATATATATATATAGCATATAATATATATTATCTAATTTATCAAGCAAAGCAGTAATAACAATTTTTAAAAAACCAATTTTGGTCTAGAAAACATCTTGCGCAATATGCTGCAAAATAAGTAAAATATAAAAATTGTAGTAAGCTCGCCTAAAAGTTACCAAGAGCTGCTGCTCCAAAAGGTTCAACACGTTTGTTAATCTTTAAGCTTGCAGGCCCAGCCCGTATGTTTTTGTATTTTTAGGACTAATAGCTCATCGCTTTTTATTTTCGTTTTTGATTTTAATTTTAATTTTAGTCTAGATATTTAGGAAGTTTAGGTTTTGATTAATATTTTAACACACCTTAATGTGTCATTCTGTGCGGACGCGTCGGGAAATTGGAACAGAGAATTGAGACTATTAAAATTTCCAAGACACTTTGTCTAAATTAAAAAAAAATTTTTAGCGAAAAGTTTCAATTGTCTGTTTCGGGGAAACGCGTAATGGGGTTAGCTAGATTCGACGTTCAAATAAATGAAATTTCCCTTGAAAAGCCTGTTTGGAAGTCGAATTGGGCTAATTTACCATTTTCCGCTTACCTTTTAACTTTTTCTGTTTTTTAATATATTTTTTTAATGTTTTACATGTCTAATGATTTGATTTACATGTGTATTAATTTTTTTGAAAACGTGTTGAACCTTTTGGAGCAGCAGCTCTTGGTAACTTTTAGGCGTGTTTACTACAATTTATATATATATCTAATAAAATTAAAAGCTAGGTCATAAGAACAATATTAAAAAGACCAATTTGGTCTAAAAATTTTTTTCGCAATATGCTGCAAAATTAAGGAAATGAGAACATTGTAGTGAGCTCGCCAAAAAGTTACCAGGAGCTGTGGCTCCAAGAAAAATTCAACACAGTTTTTTTAGAAAACAATGACATTGAAGGGTTAAAAATTAGGCTACACGCGAAATAAAATGTAAAATATAAAACACAGTAAAATACAAATTGTTAGAAACAAGTTAATGGCAAAAAATATAGTAAAAAACCTATCGATGTGACAAGTTAAAACATATGAAAAACCAATCGATGGAATAAGTTAAAACAAATGAAAACATATAAAAATTATAAAGCGGAAAATGGTAAATTAGCTCAATTCGAGATCCAACCTGGCTTTTCAAGGGAAATTTCTGGTTAAACGTCGAACCAAGCTAACTCCATTACGCGTTTCGCTGAAACAAACAATTGAAACTTTTGCGTTACGAAATTTTTAATTAATTAGATGAATTGTCCTAGAATAATTTTTTTAGTTTCAATTCTCTGTTCCAATTTCCCGACGCGTCCGCACAAAATGACACATTAAGGTGTAAAAAATGTAAACGCAACTCCGATGTACAGCTATAATTAAAATTAAATTAAATAGCAAACAAAGTAGGTCTTGCTAAGACCAAGAAAATTTGTCTGTAAAGGAAACATAAAAAACAGACCTGTAGCTATGCAGTCTTCTCTATCATGAAGCAAGCTGAAAAGGGGTTGTAATTCCCCTCTGTGTCCTTCAACGCCACTCTTCGTATGACGTAAGAAGGGAAAACAACGTCACTGGGCAACAGCCAATGTGATAAGACTGTCCGTTGGCGGGAACTCGACCCCAGTACTAAAATGGGGGTCGAAAGACTCGGAAAAACGTGGAAAGATTTCAAAATGGCGTCGGTCAAGTTGTTTGAAGAATAAGAACTGTTTCTAAAAGTGAAAATGGCTAATTCAGAAAAATTACTTAACATGGCCACAAAAGTAAGAGTAAAAAGGGAAAAACAGTCATTTGTTAATAAAAGTCGTAATTCTTCAAGCTAGAGGGCGATCAAGCTACAATGAAAAACGAAAAGGCCCGATTCGTTGATAACAGGAGTAGAATTGGCCATCAAAGTAATTTAAAACTATTTAAACAATAGTATTAAAAGTATTGTGCCAAAATTTTTGGAGGAAAGAAAACGTAGTGGCAAGAATTATCTGTATATTTTTACATTAGATTCTCAGAATCAGCCATCCACTTTATACCGTCCTATTGGGCTTTATATATAAAATATCACTATTTAACTCAAAAAATCTAAAAAATTGGTAAATTGGTCAGCTTTTTTTAAGGTATTTTTAAATATTTTTTGAGGAGAATTAGGTTATTTTTCAAAACTGTCACGAAGTATAGTATTTCTTCTTGAAGGTGTTTTGTTGTATTGCAGATTCTTTTTATTCTAAGTAGCTGTGAATAAATTGTGTTTAAGATGACTCTTTTGGAAATATTTGAATTCCAGTTGGTTAATTTCAGTGTTGAAAAATTGAATTCTCTTCTTTTATCGTAAATTTTTATAAAATTGTAATCAATATATATCATGTAATCAAGGTAGACTACATTATGTTGCACTGTATTTGTATTATTTAGTTTTAAGCATGTAGGGTAGATATTAGCAACTTCCATTTGGTTGCAGTTGTTAAAGGCAATGACATCATCAATATATCGATAGATGTGTTGGTAAAATTTATGTTCTTCTTTACTGAGTGAACGGACAAAGGTCAATTCTTTTGTAAAAAGGAATAATTCACAGACAGAACTTGAAAAATTACCTCCCATTGGAATTCCCTGCATTTGTTTAAAGATGCTATTGTTAAATTGAATAAAATTATTGAAAAGCACGCTTGAGAGAAAAAGTTGCCATTTTTCGGTAATCTGATATATATGTTTCGTCGCGTTTTCGAGTCGTGAAAAACGCATGTTAAATTTCGTCAGTCGGCCGAATAGAACAGAAGAAAGAACTGTCCCTCCTTTTCATGGAGATAAGAAAGGAAGGAGTGGCCAACTGGCAATAGAAGTGAAGCACTGCTTCGAAGCTTCGGTCACCAGATGGGGTGTTCTTTATTTACATTCAGAAGCTCGCTTGACAGTGTTCTGATAGTATTTCGACACACGACAGTTCCATACAAATCGAAAAAAGGACACTTTCACATGAAAGAAACGTTCATAGTGTGATGGATAATCGCAATTTGTATAGTTTAGTGACATTTACGCAAAAATCACATCTTGGTTATTTTTCGATAACTAACAACAGCGATTTTGATTATGAATTTGTTTTATAAAGTTCTAAGCTGTTGAACTACAAAAATATAAATTTTAACAAAAATGTTATGCTTAAAGAATGAAAAATACCTTACGGTACCTTTAAAAGTGTATATGTCTTTCGATGCCCTTGATAGAGTATTCGCTACTTTTATTTTATGTTCCAAACGCCAAAATGTTTTAAATAAAACAAATTTTTTTCTCATCCATATATTATTGTAACATGTACCTTCTAAAATTTTTTAGAGGAGAGGCTTTACTGTTGCTCATTTTAAACTGATCATTTTAATTTTATATATCTGAAAAATAATCCCTTTGGGCTTACACGGTTTACTTATTGGGTTAATTAAAAATAAAATATAGTGAATGCACAGAAATTAAAGATTTGCACATGCCGGAAATGAAAATAGGAAATATGTATGGGTATTTATGCATGTGCTTGCAAAAAGCATGTATCTGCCTTTGACAAAATACTTAAATATTCATTAAATTATTTATAAATGTATTTGAAATGAAGAATTTATTCACTTATAAACAACTGTGAAGAAATCTAATTAATTAAATGTATCTAATTTATAAATGATTATAAATGTTATCTAAATATATAATAACCTTAATATTGAATTGTAAACATAAATTGAAATCCTGTTGACAAATACGTTATAAAACTATTTAAGCAAAAATTGTTCGTATTGGAAAGCAATCTGTTAAAAGGTATTGTAAAGCAAATGCTATGAGATGCGCACTTAAGAACGTAATAAAGAGTTTTGGAATATGTATTGTTGAAATGAAGGGTAAAAAAAAAATCTGATAAGTATAATTAAAAGAATTATTCCCTTACATTTTATAATAACTCAGTTACAAGTTTTAAATAATACTTAAAAAAAAAAAAAAATCCGTATTTTATTCCTTTTCAGAAATGTTCAGAGAAAATAAGTACTATTTAAAGTATTTCGCTAATTTCTAATAATTCTCTAATTTAAAATGAACCAAATAGAGCATTAATTATAAATTGACTTATATTTTTCGATTTAAAAGATGCCTCAGAAGCCAAAAAATCATGTCATATTTAAGAAAGTATTTTAGGAAGAAGCTCTATAAATAGAAAAGAAATAATGCATAATTTTAATATAATAACTTTGATCTTAATTTTTGTACCTTAACCGAATAAAATCGAATTACCTTAATTTTTTTTTCCTAATGTAATTAACGAAAACTTGTGAAAATATTTCATTCAAATTAAACCATTCTGAGAAAACTGTCCTGTGAAAAGTATAGCATTTAATTCCGTTCAGAATGAAATGTTGTTTAAAAATATGTTGTTTTCACATACTTAGGACTCTGAAGTGTTGTAGAAAAAGAAAATATATACATTTATATGTATATTTGCGACGTAATTACAAAATATTTACACCCGAACGCGTCAAATCCCATAGAACTCAATGGTAAATGACCCAATGTTTTGGTCACCACGTAGGGATCGCCGGTGCTTCAGAGCAGGGTACACTTTACGTAGCCATAAAATATCTTTACAGTAAGAAATTCTACATGAAAAGATTTTTTCAATACAATTCCTTGCACAAATGAACTAGCAAGTAATGGCTATTGTAAACAAATCAGTATTTTATTCAAATTATACATGAACAATAGGAGATTTGCAAGTATAATTTTTTATCAGAGTGAAATGCGCAACCTGTTCTAATTTGCGTAAGGTTAAAAGGTGCCATCTGTTCTAAATTCATTCTACTGCGAAATTCATATAAGTGCTAAAAGAACCAACCACAAAACATGTTTCAAGGAATACTCGATTGCCCTGTGGTGTGTTGCGGTTTAAATAGTTATTGCAGTTGGATTATACTCACATTACATATTATTAAACTTCAGTTGTACATTGAAGTACAAACCTTTTACTTTTACGCGTTACAAACATTTCAAATTAACGTTTTATATTAAACATTTATTTTTTTATTCTTTCTTTCTGTTTGTACCATCTTTCTTCTTATTTTAATTGTTTATTAATTTTAACATTTTAATTTCTTCTACTTCAGAGCAAGGCCGAACTTGCTTCTCGACAAATACTTCGCAGCAAATTGTGGGGAGCCACTTGCTGCAGCGCTGATTGTATCATCCAAGACTGCCTGCTGCCCGAAATGGAAGTTGGAGAGCATATTGTATTTGACAACATGGGAGCTTACACACAATCGTTGGCAAGTACGTTCAACGGGTTCCCTGCGCCGACCATTCATTACATATTCCCACCGCAATCAACGTAAGTCGAATTACGATTTCTCTAAATTATATACATTTATGAACAAAAGTTTAAAAATATTAAATTAAGATTATAAAGTATTAAATTCTCACAGTATGTTGTGAAATTATTTAAATAATAAAGAGATAATAATCAAATCAGAAAAGGATTCAAGAGTTTAACAGGAAACACATACACCAAAATTGAAACTAAAAGACAACAATTGAATAAAATAACGTATTAAAAATAATATACATAATCGTTGAAAATTCTTTGGTTCTTTTCAAGAAGCAGAAGAGGAAATTTAAATAGAGCCACGTTTCTGAATTATATCTGGATAAATATAAATTTTTGAAATAATTCAAAAAAAAAAAAAAAAAAAAGAAAAAATTCAAAAGAAAGCGTCAAATAAAATTAAATTAACTAAAATAACAGACTATTAAAAATGCAATGAAATATAACATAAAATATTTATTTTTAATTTTACAATTATCATTAAGATATCATCTGATCCGGCAGACAATAAAACAAAGAATACTGTGAAAATAAACAGTAAAAACTAAGCATTTTTAAAATAAGAAAACATAAAAATCAATGTATAAATTAAAAGTAATAGACTAAATAAGTATTTAAATAAATTTCGAGTCGAAGAAAATGCGGAGCTGCTAGCAAACGTTGTAAACCAAAAATAAACATATTGTAAAATCAAAAATTTTTCCAAAACGAGTTTATTTTACAGAGATATGTTAAAGGTTAAATAAATAAGAAGATTTACGGATAATTTAAGTACAAAAGTTTCCAAATAGTGGAAAAATAATAAACCGTACAAAAAAAAAAAAAAAAAATTCCAGACCTAAACTGGAAAATATTTAAAAAGGTAATATGCCTAAAATGGGAGAAAAAATTTTAATTAAACCAATTAATTCAATTAAAACTTTATTTGAAAAGAACGAGAAAAAGAAAATCTGAATAAAATAATTCACTACCACCTGTTGCTCCTTCGGGAATGTTGTTATGAAGTACTACCTACTAAAACGTAAAAGGACCTTAAGCTACTAAAGATTGCTAATTACACTGGTGTGCAAAAATTAAGGACGAGACGGTTTTTTCAATATAACTTTGTACAAAAGCTTTACAAATCAACACATTTAATACCGTAAGATCCCCAATACGTAAGGACAGGAGAAATGTAAGCAACATTTACTAAAAGAGAAATCAGAGGGATAAAAAGAAGCTTTATTGAAAAAGTAGCATGGAGCGCAATGCGACTGAAGGCCGAAACATCCCTGTGATGAGTGTCTAGCAAGGAACATCCGGTCTTTAATAGGGGATATGATCTTCCCTGACTGCTAGGCAGGTTTCACAGCGTCTGCCCATACTGAGAATGAGGGTGTCAATGAGTTGTTGAGGCATTGCTGCCACCACAGAGAACGCCTTCTCCGATGGGCAGGCGTTAGAGATACACACCGTACAGGGCGTCGTGCAAACAGACCACCACCGTGCAGTCTTCTGGCCACGGTAAAACGGGATATCGGTCGTCCAGTCGCCTGTGTCGTGTGTCTAGTGATTTCTCTCGCTGTCTGCCGCCTGTTTCTTCTGGCCTGTAAGGCAATATACCGGTTATCTGCGGTGTGGTTCCTCGTGGACGACCACTACTAAACCCCGGATAGCTGTTCTTGTAGTTTGAAATTGTTTCCAAAGTCGTGAAATGATGCTGTGAGCAATTCCGAACTCTGCAGGCACACTTGTCACACTGCGGCCTTCCTCCAACTTCCCAATGATTCGACCTCGGGTAAAAGCATCCAGATGTCGTCTAACAGATTGATTATTCGCCATTTCTCGCTGAGGCAGCAACTCGGTGTGATTTTAACTGCTATACGGCGTGCAATCTCTTTGCAAGAAATACTGATCTTACACCGACAACATGCTTTATACTACTCAGACACTCCCCCATTACGTCTACCTGCATATCTGCGCATGTGCTACCGTACATCACCTTACTTAATCTCCTGATTGGTCTTTCTGTCCGCTCTGTCTCTTCGTTCAGCCACTAAGGATCTTAAGTTTTACTAACGTTTATTTTATTTTAAGTCGTTACTATCACTTCTTATTTTCTACTTCCGGCCAGAATTAAAAGCTTATTTATGCGAATTTGTATTGCAAACGCCAAGTACTTAAGTTGTGGCTTTTTGCCAAGCGAGAGAGAGGAAGGAGTTAGTAGAAGCAGGCTGCTTGCCTTAGCAGTTTTACTCGGTTGCTGGTTGCCTTCAAGGCCAGAGGTTTAATCCTCTTGATAATTTTAAACGTATCGTAGTGTTAACAGTTCTGTGTACTACATACGGCCTTTCTGTTAATATACGGTCAATCTTCAAGTAGCCACTTGTTTATTAATCCAAAGTTAAGTCTAGTTAGAGTTTAGTTAATATATTTATATTCTTACATTCAGACCACAAGTGGGTGGTCTCTGTATTCCGAAGTCCGGAAATCATTGTAAAGAGAGAAAAATAAAGGGTTTCGTATACCCCTCCTGTGTATCTTGTCTACTTCCCACATTTATTGAACATAACTTTAGTAAGCTCCCTGTTCCGAGTCAGGTCATGTAATGTTCCCGAAGCAAGTAAGGAGGAATACTGAACCTGATATGCTAATTTTTCATATCAGGCTTAAATTTTTAATTTAAACCTGATATGAAGCTGATATGCTAATTTTTCGACTTCCTTAATTTTTGCACACCAGTGTATATTAGGTTTCTGCATGCAGATGTTTAAAAAATACTTTTGACTTCGTATAAAAATTTTCTCACAGAAGTATAGATTTCTAGTTCTTATTCTCAAAATTCAATATTTTATGAGTCAGGAGATCAAATTTTGTACGATACTTTAAAATTTAGGGTTTACAATAGGGTAAAAATGATTTAAATCATGTAATTCTGAAAGGATTGTAAGGAAAAATGTTTATTCCATGGAACGCCTAAATGATGTTTCTGGACGGGGAGGGACACTTGTTTGAAGGTTGGTAAATGCTGCTTCAGTATTGGTAAATGAGGTAATTAGTGATTTTGGGTGTTGAACCGAGGCTTGCGGCGTGGAAACCAGGCATTGTACCGCCAAGCCAAAAGTGCAGATCGGTCTTCGTTGCTGTTTTGATTTCGATCTGGATTTGTTTTTTGTTGTCAGAGCTGACTGTTCACCGAGATATCCATCGTGTATATTAAAATAACGAACAACTTTCTTTTTTATAGAACATAGGCATAAAACTTTTATTTGTTATATTTTTAGCAAAAGCTGTTGTCATTACACTGTCCTGTTGCTCCATTCGAGATAAAAAAGTACTGTTCAGTTTTGAAATGCTTTCTTATTTGATTTGTTTCTTAAATGAGAATTACATGTGCCCGTCCAAATATTCAAGTGAATATATTATTTTTGAAATAATATATTTATATGTGCTTAATAATATAAAGTGAACATCTATATTTTATTTTTTGCGTAGGTACAAGAACGAGAAGATCCCACCATTTGAAGATTTTTGCTGTGATCTAGGATCAAACCAGTTGAAAGCATTTATTAAAATCCAGGACTACATTTGCCACGACGACTCTAACGATGACTTTTTCAGAAAGGAATGAAGGACTTAACTATCTGGTGGTGATTAGTAATTACTTAACATTTTTATATTCTTGGCTACTTAGTGCGGCACGGTTTTGAAATGGCGTAAGAAAGCACGGAGTTCGGCAGTATTTGGAGAGGAAGATTTCTGTTGGTGTTTTATGCTTTTAATACATAACTATGCGTTATTTGGTTGTGTATTACTATGTTTCTTCTGTTGACACCATTAAAATTTTGAAAACATTTTCCCAAATTTGTTGTCTATTTATTCTCTTACTCTTCAGGGGCAGCGCAGCATGCAAAATGTATACCGAATTTCACCTCTCTTTTATTAATTTTACCGTTCAAAATTCTGGAGGGGTAAAATGATGCGAATTTACTAAGAACGCGGTTAGAGTGGGAACAAAAAAGAAAAAAAAATGGAAAATAATCATGGATAAACTACAAATAACTATTCCAATATTATTTCTTACAAGAAAAATGTATTCCAATCAGATTACATAGTCATATTACTAACATTACACAATATATAACATCCAGAATTTTTTAAAAATTTTCCAAGATTTTTTCTGGAATATTTTAAAACAAGCCATCTTTATTTCCACTTCCCTATAATTTGAATCTCTCCCATTCTTATCCCTCCTCTTGAGAATAATCTTCGTTTCATGTGTCTAACATTAGTTCGGTAGATAAAGATAAGTTCACATGCCCAGTCTTTAACAGAACAAAAGACTATCTAAATTGATAGATATTTAACATTTTTCATTAAAAGTTATGTTCATATCTACTTTCCTGTGATTTGGTCCAATTTCTGCCACTTCCGTTGAGAAAATACCCACACGATTAATTTGCAACGACGTTAGAGGGCACTTCTCATCTGCATATCGAGAATGTTAGTTGGCGATGTGGCTTTGATTAGGGAAGTACCATCGATGTCCTAGCGGTCTTTTAAAATATATAAAATAAATATGTAATTCTATCTACATATATAATAAGTATGGTTCTATCTACATATATAATAAGTATGGTTCTATCTACATATATAATAAGCATGGTTCTATCTACATATATAATAAGTATGGTTCTATCTACATATATAATAAGTATGGTTCTACCTACATATATAATAAATATATTCTAAATAAATATATAGTTCTACCTTCCCTCAACATTAGCATAATTTGATGCATACTAACCGTCAAATGTTGGAGTCATGCCAAATGGAATGGATGGAAATGAAAAGATAAAATCGACAATAAAAAAAAGCCTTAAAAAAAGCTTTCTTGGATGTTGGCAAAAATACTAGTTTTTGTTTACAAGGAGATGTGTTACATATTATTTAATATGTGGGTAAGAATAAGATTCAGTTTTAATCTTCGGCAAGGTAAGCTTCAAAATATTCTTTACAGTTAAGAAATGAACTTTATGCTGAAAATTATTTCTAAAATTGAAACTAAAATGTTAGAAAATGAAACATAGAAAGAACTTTCAGAAATGATTGATTTTCAGAATAATGTTTCGCCATATTTTGATTCTACAACTGAAATCATGCCTAAATATTAAATTTTGTAAAATTTGTTGGGAAACTTACCGAGCAATTACAAAAATTATCTTGCACGCGTTTTTCAGTTGGCGCCAAGAATAATTCATTTGGAGAAATTCTTAATTTACAGTAACCTATTTCAATTTTCCTTTCATTGTGCACGAACGGAAGAAAAATGGTGAATCGTTCATTCTTTCAAATAATTTTAACAAAGCGTTTAAACCACGTTTGGCGTTGTTATCGCTTATAAAATGTATGCCAAATTTCAAAACGCACCAATACATAAATTAGCGTACATCTTATGAAATTTTGATTAAAAAACTCTAATGTTTCGCAAGTGTGCATACAAATACATCTACTTTAAGGTCACGGCAAAATTTTATAGATTATAATTCACAATATTTTCAAAAAACTTATAAAAATTACTAAAAAAAAAAAAAAATCTGAAATGTTTCAGATTTTAAATTACGTCCAAAGGGGCGTTTTTTAACATTTTGTGTGTTACCTTTCTTTATTAAATATCACGTTCCTCGCACTTAAACCATAAGATCCAGTGCAACAGCAATATCGCAAAATAATTTTAAATTCGAGCATTATCCTTTAAGAAGGTGCGATACAGAGTCTCGCCGCGCTGGTGATAAAAATGTTTTTACTGTCTGCACAACGCTGCCATGGCTCGCTCTTGAAATCCTTGAGTTTGTTAATCAAAAGTTCGTTAACGTTTTACAATATAGGAAATCGATAATAAACAAATTCCAAATTTCAAATTTGGGCTTCCAGATGCCCATGTTCGTGCAGGAGGATTACGTCATTCAAATCTAGATGGCTCTAGGTACCGTTGCTTTATTATACAATGCGAGAAATATACATACATTTATGCAGATTCTCCATTATTTAATTTCTTCTTCAAATATAATGCAGGACTCTAACATTTGTGGCAACAGTTTGAAAAGTGAACCGACATTTATCCGTCCGACGCAAAATGCCAAAACGAAACTATAGTCCTTCGGATTCAAATCCCTTTGGACTAAAAATATAAACTTTTGTAAATAAATCAGAAAATACCTGCAAAATTTATTAGGACTGAACCTAAATTTTGAGCTGTGAAAGAAGGAATTAATTAAGTTTAATAAAAAAGAGATATTTATAAATGCATAGCGAATTGAAATAAAACTGAGGAGCAAAAATTTTGAGAGCTAATTTTTTAAAAAACTACTCGTGAGATTTTTACTAAACTTTGCACTTTGGCTTAATTTAAGTCATAGAGTAAAAAATATGGGGAAAATAGGTATGTCATTTCACAAAAAGACCGATTTTGTGTCAGAATACCAAAGTTAGAAGAATGTTATGTATACATCTTACAATTAACAAAAAAAGTTGCAATTAACAAAAATTTAAAAAAAAAATATCTTTGAATGTTATGTATAAATCTAATACGTATCTTAAGTTGCGCTTTCGAGATGTGAAAAACGCAAATTAAATTTCTTCAGTCGACCCAGTGGAACGGGAGATACAGAATTATGCCGTTTCTGTTTTATGCAGAGTGTACAAGTGTTGGAAATTCAGAATTCTAAACAAAGCGTTTGGTTGGATAAGGGGAGCCAACGTTCTTTTTGTAGTGAGCATTTAGAGAATATTCTTAAATTAATCTTTTCGCCGTCCTCTAATGTCCGCGAAAATTCCCCCCCCCCCAGCAGCTGTCTATTTTCCGTAGCGTGTAATGTTGTTTTCTCTGTACATCATGACTTTCCATACATCACTTTCGTAGTGGATTAATGCCAATGAATATTAAGTAAATTATAAGAAAATAAAGCATAATGAAAAATAATAATATCGCTGCTTATTTTCTAAACAGCCGATAATTCGATAACATCTGATCCAGCGGTCCACTCCTCCCATTTTGTTGTTGTAATATATACAGTATTGTTTTTTTTTTTTTTTTTTTTTTTTTTTTTTTTTTTTCAGTTCTTTCGTCTTCCAACATCAATCATCGAGTTATTATTAACTGTACCATCAAACGTAATCCTTCTTGTCTTTCCAAATCACAACCTCATTTTTTCTCTTTCTGTGCTGAGTAGACGTTGAAGCCATCTCTCACTGCCTTGTATCTTATGTAAAATGGCGCGAATATTTATAAAACCCGGCGCAAATTCAATTAGAAATAGAATATCTGATTAGTGCTGCCCTCTAGGAGGTACTAGAACAAACAAAAATAAAAACTCAAACAAGTAAACATTTAGAAAGTGTTTTGAACGTTTAAGTGTTTTAAAATGTAGAAGAACGCTTAAAGCGCGTTATGGCTGCCCTGCGGAAGTTTCACTTGAACGCGCTAGGCGCGTTACGTACGACGAAGAGATTAAAATCAATTCGCTATGAAATAGTTTGCGTGTATTCCTTTGGAATACAACATGCCTCAGAGAAAAAAAAAATGTCCAATCGTAGAATTTGAATTCACAAAATCGAAATTCTCATTCTCCTAAATAATTGTGGCACCATAATTTCTCCTTCAGATAAACATGTATCAGATTTTATGTCTAGTCATCAATTACAGCTCGCTAACTCATGGTACGGAGATAAATATATGAATGTTCAAATTCTAATATGATCCTATTCCTTTCGGAACATTATCATAGATGAAAAAGTTGCAATTAACAAAAATTATAAAAATATCTTTGAATGGGTCATCGCAAGTTCAGAATTTAGAAAAGAGAAGTTCGTTCACAAAATATTGTCGTTATGAAGAACGCGATAATGAACGACCTACGAGCAATTTTAGGAATTAAGATTCGAATCTCTATTTCAGATGAAAGCGTGAAGTTGTCAGTGAGAGGCGAAGAAATACTTAATCAATTTAAAAAATCTTTATGTTTTAATAACTGTAGGTATCAAACTAAATTACTTTGTAAATTTAATTCTGATGAATTAAACAATAATTCTGAAATTGCAAAAAAGCATTTTGAGATTTCTCAAGATGGACTGGGTAAGGTTATATAAATTCTAGAGTTTCATCTTCTTTGAAAGCATACAATTAGGTCGAGAACTATTAAAGACTAAAGCGACTTATCGCTAGATCTTTTAAAAAACACAGACTGACAAAGGGTATAGAAAACAGTTTTTTTCAACTCAAATAAAAAGTTAACAGAAGTGACTACTTGTACTTACAAAACAGCCAGCACTTATGACTCAAATCAGAAGAAAAAGAATTTTAAATTATGACTAAGCTAAGCTAGCCGAAAGACCACAGAAACACAAAACGCGCAAGTTGACTCGTATCGAAAAACCGGCGTGACAAGCGTAATAGCGAGAATAACGCAAAGCCGCAGATAGACTTACTGCTTTCAAGAGACAAGCCTTGACAAATTCAACTGAGCATTGACGATGGGAAACATTATATAGGTAAGGTATAATGCGGATTTCTTAATCAGAGTTTTAAGAGGAAACTCTGTGAAGAATTGTTCCCTTTGGTGGTCTAGACCACAATGGTTACAAAACCAGTGCGTAAAGTAACCAATTGAACATAATTCTGACATAGAGAACGATGGGTGACTAGAACGCCATGATAATTATCTATTTATGATATTATTGTGAAAAGAGACAAACTGCTACTAGACGTAAGAAAATTCAGTGATGTGTTCAAATTTCTCAGAATTATGGCATTGATCACGTTTTGTTGTTAGAGCAATAAAAACGCCTGCAAATAGTAGCCCATT